TTCCCCAACGGAGCCGCCAGCCCGGCTCATGCACAGCCAAGTGTGTGGGATGAAAGGGGATGTCCTGGGGCACCGGCGAGCGCTGGCGGCAGCACGAAGGTCACACCGTAGCATGGTGGCAGCGCTGGCTAACGCTGCTCATCAGAGGTGCCCGTGGGGTCGGCAGAGCAGCATGGAGGTGACCCCTGCGCTTGGGGTCAGCGGGCCTTGGCCTGCGCCAGCCCCCAGCAGCTTAATCCCAACCGGGCAGGGGGAGGAGGGTGGGGGGCAGCGGATTCCTGGCCCACAAGTGAGCCTGGCATCTCCTCCAGCACTGCCATGGTCCACTCTGCTGTAACCAGATAGGGCTGCGTGGTGCCGCCCTGGCTCCGGGAGGGTGAGGACAAATAATAGGAACAGGCACCAGAAAATGTAGAGCAAACAAAAAATCCTTTTGTCTGGAGAAAGCAGCTCTTCGGACCTTTTCTTCCTCCCTGGAATAGTTTTTCCTGCCACCCAAAAGGAGATGGAATATTCTGCAGGACATTATTTCACAGGATTAGTTTGGGGTTTTTTTTTAATTTACTGTAATTACTTGAAATGTTTGTGAATGGCCTGATATGTGGGAAAATAAATATGCAAATGCTGTCCACAGGTTTGCCAGCAGGATTCCCTGAGCTGTTTCTCAAACACGCGGTTCAGACTCTGCTCGTTATCGGTTCTAGTCACTCGTGCAGGCCCCTGTGAAATACAGAGCAGAAAAATGCTGGGGGTTCTGCAAGCTGAAAACCTGCGGGTACAGCAGCTGCAGAGCTCTGTGACACCCTTCTCACAGGAACTCTCTTTTTGTGCGTGGCTTTAACTGGAAGCAGATGCAGCCACGGGGAGCTGCTGTGCTGCTTGTCCCACAGCAGACTTGCAGGATGCACTGGACAGGGAATTACTTCAGGTGCAGGCTGGAAATTGAGAATATCTTACTGGTATTGGGTAGATGAGGTGCTTGGGGACATGGTTTAGAGGTGGAATTGGTAGTGTTGGTTTGTGGTCAGACTCAATGATCTTAAAGGTCTTTTCCAACCACTGTGATTCTGTATCTACCCAGCGCCGCAGTTTATTCCCTCCATTGCGACTGCCGAGCGCGTCAGGGACACGGAGGTGCTTTGGGAGATCCTGGGGGTGGATGGAGTGTGCTGCTACAGGGAGCTTCCTTCTGTGCTGTGAGAAGAGGCCACAGCGAGCTCAGGCTGCCAGGAGGTGTGGGACAAGTAAATGTTCTGGACATGGGAGGAACCTGAGCGAACATGTCACACAAACTGCCGATAACAGAGCGGCTCGCTGGAGCCCCGCACACACTGACTGGCTTTATCTAGTCACCCCTGGGATGTTTTTCCACCTGTGCGTGGAGGCAGATGTTTGGTTGTTTAAGATTTAAAATCATCTACCACCGAGATACTTTTCCATCATGAGGCGTGATTGGGAGGAATGTAATCAACCCATTTCTCAGGACAAGAGAAGTGAGAGGCTTGGAAGTGAAGTGTTTCACCAGGTTAGACGCTCTCCTTGCCCCCCTTGTCCTCTCTGCTTAATTCTTCTAAGTTTCAAAATGATTCTTTGCTTCTGTCTCTCTTTTTCTGCCAAAATCAAATTCTGATACAAATGGAGCAAGATGGGAATGGGTTTATTTCTTTGCTATTTTAATACAAGTATCCACATATTTCTGACTGCAATTTCTCGTAACAGTATATATATAAAAATAAAAGGATATGAGTGGACTTGTAGCTGCTTCAAAACACTTGCTAAAGTTTCAGGTTTGGAAGGATTGATGGGTCCTTCTGGGCCGTAGCACCACTGCTTGTTGCACAGCCGTGTCTTCTCTTATCAGGGTGTTAGAGTCATCTGGGACAGAGCAGATCTGCAGGCCCACAAGCAGAAATTAAACATCCTGGACAGATGTCGGTTCAGGGCCATGCAGTTTCAGCTGAAGCTTTCCAGACTGGTTTTGACCCGTTCCATTTCATGCAGAAAACTGTAGAACTGGGGCAAAGTTAACTCTGCAGGAAAAAAAAAGAGGCATCAAGTCTTAGATTTCAGGTTACGCTTCCAACATTGGAAAAGCTGTTCTGGTGCTACCACAGAGCAACTCGTGTTCACCTAAGCTAGGCAGGATCAGCCACCGTGGCTCTCGGCAGCTGTTTCTTTAGGCTGTCTGGGCTGTGTGGGGTTCTGGGCTGGGATTCTCCTAACAGCAACCAACTTTTGGGAACTGTTTACTTTCTTTGCCTGCCATTCTGCTCCGACCATTCTCCATGGCTCCATGGCACAGCGATATTTACTTATGCAAAGATGTGAACTGCCCAGCAGTCAGTGTTCCTAAATACTGACAGAGTGACTGTGGTGAGGAGAGGCCCAGGCAGGAGCAGCCGCAGCATCCACCAGCGATGTTCTCGCAGTGACCCTGGCTGAGTCTGCACCCACAGCTCCCCCACCTCCAGCAACACCCCACAGGTCTGAGCTGCTGCTCTGCTTTCATGTACTGGAATTCTCGCTTCTTTTCCAGAACTGTTAACTCACCTACATACACGTTTTCCATTTGGCTCCCTTTTTTAATCACCAGCTTCAGCTTGGGGGAAGAAAAAGCAGAGATATTTTAATTCAGAGACTGTATTCTGAGCACCATGAAAAAACAGAAGAGCAGGAGTCTGCTGTGAGTTTCAGATGGGCTCACTGCTGCAAAGCATGCATATCTTTTGACAGGCTTTTTGGGAAGCATCTCTGTAGGAGCAGATTCCTTAAGCATTGGAAGGATCTCCGGAAGTCCTTATGAAGGATCACATTTCTGCTCCCTCCCTAAGACAGCGTGACCTTTGCTAGACTGAGCTTTTTGAACAGCTTTTCAGAGTGGGCTACACTTCTGTGATACATGATGTCTTCAGAAGAGAAAAAAAATACCAGTGTGCCTGTGATCTGCTGGCAGCTGCACTCGGAAGACCAAAGCAGATGCACTGTGACAGAGCTTGTTCCTATGAGATCTAGCTTTCCTCTAGCTCCTCTCACAGCCAGTTCTTCCCATGTGCCTGGTTGCAGCTTGTTCCTTCACTGCACTACAACCTGAACTCTCTGATGTAAGGGATTTACCTGTAAGAAGATACTGCCCACTTTTTCCAGTTCACTGCTCCCAGCAGTCACTGTGAGTCAGAAAGAAGGGAGATAATCTGTTAGCTAAACTGTGAAAGAAAGAGTTATTTAGCTGAGAGCTGCTGTTGTGTTTCCCAACCCATTCAGTTTATGTTTTAGCTCGATTACCTCCAAACTTCCACTCCATATCTATCAGCTGGTTAATCATCAGCGTCTGATCAACAGCCAGTCGTGTCAGGGTGGGGGAATTCACCTTCCACTGCAAGAGCAAAAGACACACGAGCAATCAATTCAGAGGGGCCTCTATTTGTTACCTGTAATTTCAACCTAAGTCAGAAATGGGGCAGACTGATGGCAGAAGCCCAAAGTGGAGGTGTGTAAAGGAGAGAACTAATGTGGTTGGGAGGCTTTCAAAGATGTTTGAGTCCTGCTAGGATTTCCATCTGCCTTGTCACTTCTGTAAATGAAACTCACTGTTTTTGTTTTAACACGGGTTCAGTGTAACAATATCTGTGCAAAAAGTCATGTGTTCGTGTAACTGCTGACCCCGGGGCTCAGAGCAGGAAAACAATCAAATGAAAGCCATACAGAAGTGCAGGAATCACAAAACCGATGAGGTAGAGGCCACAGCAAACCACAAGTCTCATTAGAGAATTAGACATTCCCAATCTGAATATCTTCAGATCAAAATTCTGAGCTGGTTTTGAAGACAATACCCAAAGTGCTGGCACATCTCAGTAGCACAGTGCGGTTTTACAGGTTCCCACTCAGACTGTCATTCTATTAGCTTAGAAACAAGCAAAAATATATTAATACCTGTTCTGCAAAATAACTGGCTTTCTCTTCGCTGAGGCCTGTGGGAGAAAACATCTGAGATTACTATATGTGATAAATATTAATTATCTTTTATTTAGTGAAAGTCAGGTGACCTACCTAGAGCAATAAAATCTGCTCTGACTTGTTCAGAAGACAAATTCCTCTTCAGGGCACCTGAATAAACAATGCAAAGAAGAAAAATCACTTTTTACTGAGTCAAACCAATCTTTACTGAGTCAAACAAATGCAGGGACAGAGACCCTGCGATAGAAAGCCTCTGTTCTTGGACTGTGTTTTGAAACAAACCACAGCTCCTCGAGATAGGAAATACAGTTGTGCCTGCCGGTGTCTTTGCAGATGCCCAGTGCTTTAAAAGTCAGAGCTCGGGGAGTGCCTGGGAGAGCGGGAGAGATTTCACTGCAGGTATCCATGGGAACAGCGGCAGCGGTTGTGTTTTGAAGTTGCTGCTTTCTCCCCTATAGAAGCTTTTCTTGTTAAAGGAGAACTGTTAAGGCTGGCAGGCTACTAATTTGACCTACCTGCTGTGTTTTGGATTATGGGTGTGAACGTGTGCATATAACACTTTCCCCTGCTGCGCCTGCCTCCTTTGTTCTGGGGCACAGGCAGCACATGGAAGTTTACAAGGATTCTGTCCTCTGAAGCCAAGAGCAGGAATCTCATAAATTCAAAGGGACTGCCAGTCCCACGTGGCTTTCCATCTGTGTAGCACACAGGCAAAGTTATCTGCTGGAATCTGGTCGGATACCATCAGTGGCATCCCAGAGCTACTCAAACGTTACAACGGGATGGGAGCCAGCGCACAGACAGGAACACCCAGGCTGAGTGCACCTAGGCCAGAATCAGGAAAAGGCTGATTCCGCATTAAATACCCCCAAGACAGTTGTAGGAAAGGGAATTATTCACTGCTACTCCTGGACAGAAGAAATGGCTTCAAGTAGTAGAAGGAAAGTTTAGACCAAATGCAGGAAATGGTTGTGCACGGCTTCACTGCTGTGAGGAAAGCTACGGGGAACCCAGGACTGACAGAGAGCAGCGAGGGACTATTAATAACGAGAAGGATCAATGGGATGAACGTGCAGTGGAGGTGTTTGATGCATTATCATGTCAAGCGGCAGCCACAACATCAGAGTAATCTCATAAAGTGCTGGAGCCTGGGGTATTCAAGGGGAATCCCCCTGCCCCTCTTCCCCACTACTTATGAATGAGAAACTACCGGACACAGAAGTGTTTTTCTAAAACAAGACTGCGAGGACAGATGTCTCCTCTACACGGCCTAGAACTACACGGGCTTCCAGCCCACTCGAGGGGTGTGTTCAGTGTCTTATCTGTCTCAAACAGCAGATGTCCTTGTAGGAATTACAGTAGTGGGTCACTTGGATGGGAATTCCTACAAATACTTAGTGCCAACATAAGGTTGTGCTGGTCTGGCAAAAACGGATTTACATGTACAAGTTAAACCAAGCACAACACTGGCATTTAATGAAGAGATATTTAAGTGAGCATGTGAAACGTGTGCAGGCAGGGTGTGAAGAACACAAAGCCCAGGTCACTAAACAGGGTTATTTCAACAGGAGAATTTTGATTCTTAAATGCAAAGCCACTTATTAGCATTTACTGTGCAAACCAAATGTGCTGCAGTTCTTAAGACAGACTTTAGCAGCGTGCAGGAAGGGACACAACAGTTTGGCCTCAGGGTAGCGTATGCAAACATATCACTTACCACTCGGTACCAGAAGAATACTTTTGACAATGTTTTTCAGGGGGCCCAAGCTGAGTTTATTCATGGTGGCGAAGTCTGAGAGCTGAGTCAGAAACCTTTCTACCTGCTCAAGAGAAAGAGTAGTGACACAACCTTATCTCTGCACATTTCTCAGCAGAAAGCTGCATTCGCACACTTCTCCTCAGTGTCCTGTGTGTGCCTTACCTCCTTGGGCTCCATGAGAAAGCTGAAGAGCACTTCAGTCAGCGCTGAGAATTGCTGTGAAGGAACAGGACAGTGTTATGGAGTCAGGCATCAGCACGTGTTGTTCCTCAGCACCTCGCCACTCCATCACCACCACCGTGATGCAGCCCTACCTGCCTCCAGTACACTGGTCCCAGGGTTTGACCTCCCGTGCTGGTAAGGGATCCTCATCCTCAGCATTACAAGATGCCTGTGGATGGGACTTACTTGTGGATGCTTTTCAGAGACTCTCAAAGGGTTTGAGCAGCTGGTAGCTGGCACTGCACAGGGCTTTTGTGACTTGTGGCTAATCGGAAGCTGCTGTTCTATCCTGTGTAATCCAGAAATTGTGAGTGGGAAGAGATGTGAACATCTACTCTCATGTTTCACAAACATGGTGTAACCAGGCTAACTCAGGAAAGGAAAAGGACTGGTTCAAGGTCTAGTCGCTGCCTTCAGTTTTCTGAGTGTGCTGCTGGCAGGGCTGGAGAGCCTTTGTGTGGGGCAGAGAACCATCACCCTCCCTCCTCTGCTGGCACCAGCGCTGGCCATACCTTCTGCCCTGTCCTACCCTCGCTGTCAGCCATG